AGTGCCGGTCCAAGCAGCACGCACGGAGTTCCGGAGGACTTCGGGTGGCGAATCGACTACAGAATGGACTTGCCCCCGATTTTTAAACATTGTTTTGTGTGTCCACGAAAATCCAGTGTCTTTTTTGGGGGGGAGATTCGACGAGGAAACCAGTGTTGGGGTACATCAATTCTGCAGTCGGTCTCCTACTCGAAGACTGTACCCGTGCCGCCCCCTCGAGCTCCTCGAGAGGAGCCGCTCGGGCGGCGGGGGCGGCTCCTCCTCCGCCTTTCCCGAGGGGGGCATCGACTACAGCACCGATCTGCCCCAGAACCGATTCTCTCGCCGAGCCCATGCATCCAACGCTCGTAGAAGGTTCGTTGCACGAACACTCTACGAGCGTGCTCTTCATGGTGTCGGCGAGAGAACCGATCCTGGGGCAGACCGAGTCTGCAGTCGATCCCTGCTCGAGCCTTCTTCCCCTTCTTCGGGGGCATCCTCGCCGCGCGCCGGCCGCCCGGGGGAGAGGCCGAGCCGGCTGCAGGGGCTCGGGCCGGGGCGGCCCCCGCGGCCGGCGGACGGTCCGGCTGTTCCCCCTCCGCGGCCTGTCATGGGGCGCACAGATACATACTACAACCCTCGTCAAAATTAACCTCAAGAATGTCTTACGTGGCTGAACTGTTTGTGGGGAGGTACTGGTCAGAGTTGCGGTGACTGCGAGGTACTTGTACGCGCCGCCCCGCCAATGTTAGTCATCATCGAGTTTCCGTGTCGTTCCCGGTCAGACCACTTTTGCCTTGGCCCCGACATTGGAGGGACGCCTATCGACATTGAAGGGCGCGCCGACATCGCAGGGGCGTGGTCGCCATTTTTGAGGTTGAATTTGACGAGGGTAGTAGTACTATATGTCCTCCTTGGAGGCGCGCGTCCGACCCGAACATGTAGTATACCCATCTTGTGGTATATCGTTTCCCGAGCGGCGTGGCCAGAAAGCGTCCGCCACGACGCATATGCTATAAGATTTCTCGGTGCGCGCGTCGCCCCGGGGGGGCGACGCACACATAATATAAGTATGTTGGGGTGTCGCCGGTGACAGGGCACGGAAATCCGCAACCGACCCCCGACAGGGCACGGAACATGCAAGTCATCTTCCAATCCTGTGCCTCCATGGCCTTTCCACATGGGCCAAGATAACGTCGATTTTATCGGCAAGTGCCGGGCACAAGTCGGACCTGTATAGGCCAGAAGAGCACCCCTTCGGAAGCAACTACCGGAAGGTCTTCGATGGAAGGATGGAGGAGGAATAAGCCCCATCAGGGGGGCTCCTACGCCGGATTGGGCCACAGATTAACCGGTATTAAGCTGGATTAGACTGGATTAAGCCAAAATTAGCGAGACTAAGCCGGATTTGCGACCAGAAGGACATGTCTTAAGGACTTAGCATCCTCCACCGGCCAAAACACACAGAGAACATCCAAGGGAACCCTCCCCCAGGAGGCACAAGAGCATCCAACAAGCATACCTCTGTCCGACTGTGTGCACTGCCTCCAAGCGGCCCCCGACATGCCCCCCGCGACATCCCAAACCAGGGGAACTGACAGTGACATGAAACATAAAAGCCTGGCCAAATCTGAGGCTTCCTCTGAAGATGCGTTTCTTCCCCCTGGGACTCCTTTCTTCCCTCGCGTCGCTATGCGTCGCTTCCATCTTTTCAGATTGATCAGCGCCCCAGCCGCGGAAGGGGCGTTGCTGAGAGGTGACCACGGTTGCGGAACCGCGGCGAAGGGTTCCCCGCGCGGATCCCTCGGATCGGCGCCGGGGCTCCCCAGCGGCGCCTCCAGCGCCGCCCCTGGCGCGCCCTGTGCGCCAAGAAGAGGGAGGGGTCAAGCGCCGATCCGGGAAATCCGCGCGGACCTCTGAGCTTGCTCCCCTACAAACTCAAGGGGCCCAAGGACACAGAAATCCCAGGATTGCCTATATTCTTCCAGATTTCCTGGGCTCTCGTCCTCCCCCCCACTTCCCATGCTTTCCCCTACCTTCCTGGGAGTCGACAATCGATGGTATCCGTGTGTATTGTTCCCCCTCCCGACCAGCGGCCCCCCAACAGGCCCCCCGCGACGTCCCAGCGAACACCCCGAGGAGGCCCACGGCGCCCACAGCCCAGGCACGGTGGCGGGGCGGGCCGAGGGCCACTGGGTGCACCACCGCTTCCGCTGCCCCCGTCGTGCTTGAGGGCCGCGTCCCGGCAGACAACATCGAGCACCCAGAGAAGCATCGAAACGGTGCCGAACGAGTATCGCCGCCCAGGGCCCGACGCGTGAAGACTCCCCAGTTTCGGTACCCTCTTGGTGCTCGAGATCCTTTCTGGTGCTCGAGGCGATAGTAGGGTGGAACATCATAGCACTACCCCCCGGAGGAGTGGTACAACTCTCGCGCGCGGTCCGTCTCCCCGCGCCCTTCCACTTCAGTGCTCGCGCGGGGCGCAGCGCGAGTCGATTTTGCCCGCCGGCGGCCGCGGCCGAGTCAACGTTGAGATCCGGGGGGGTCGGGGGCAGAAGCCCCAGAAATCGAAAACGTGTCAAGGGTTAGCAGGACAAGGCCAGGACAAGGATGAAACCGGACCGGGAAAACTCGGGGATCGCTGAGACCCCGCGGATCCGGACGATGCATCGGACGCCGCGGCCGTTCCAGAGCGCTCTGGGACGCTCCGAGAGCGTTCTGGGAGGCTCTGGAACGCGACGCGGCGCGCCCAGCACGCCGCCGATATGGCCCCAACGCCTGCGAAAATGACAGGACACAAGGGCACCCTTAGTCCGAACACGCAGAGGACATGAGAAGGGATGGACAGGACACAAGAGTACTCTTGTTTTTGCAGGGTCGACCTGCCAATGCACTCCGACTGTATCCTGCTACTCGCCCCACCCGAAAAGGAGCAGGCCCGCGCCCAGAAACGGAACCAGTGAAGGGCCCAGCCCAGTGCGACTGCATGTGGCGCAAGAAGGGGCGGAGGGGCATTCCCAGAACTCCAGCATTGAAATGACGAGCGAACAACACACACACACACCCATACCCATAGGGGGGTCGTTGGGGGGAGGACTGACTATGGGTATGGGTGCGGGTTGTCGGACCCTGGGGAACGCTCCCGTTCGAGCGGGGACCCCCATCCGACAACACGCACCCACAGCCCTCGCCGACCCTCCAACGGGTATGAGGGTGCGTTGTTGGTTCAGGACAGAAGGCTTTCCCAATTTTCCGCGCCGGGGGGCCCTCCATGGGTGGGCCCCCTGGACCGTCGAACACCGATGTATGTATGTATGTATGCATGCATGCATGCATGCATGCATGTATGTATGTATGTATGTGTGTATGTATATATGTATGTATGTATGTATGTATGTATGTGTGTATGTATGTATGTATGTATGTATGTATGTATGTATGTATGTATGTATGTATGTATGTATGTATGTATGTATGTATGTATGTATGTATGTATGTATATGGCTATGAAGGTATGTATGTATGTAGGTATGTGGGTATGTAAGTATGTAATTATGTAGGTATGTATATATGTATGTATGTTTTTTTTTATAAAGAAGAAGACGAAGAAGAAGAGAACGCAGCCACCTGACAATCCAACCACCCAGCGTCAGAGTGAAACGCGCAGAGCTCGAATCAGGCAATGTGATACAATTGCTCCACGGGCGCACGCCTTTACACGTGCATCGACCCCGTCGCGCAGAGCCCCCCGTTTCAAGCTAAAGCCGTGCGCGGGGACGGGATGCAACCAGAGCAAAAAAACACATATACTAAAACGGGGAGGACACTAGCAAAGAGGAGGAGAAAACCAAAAACGGAAGGAGGGAGGGAAGATAAGCGAGATGCCTAATGCGGCCGCCCTGCGAGAGCGACTGGCACGAGACACGAGCTGTACAAGCACAGCCGGACACGCTGGGAGCAGCAGACACAACGCAGGCTGCACCGGCAGGGCGGGCAGGGCGGGCGAAAGCCGAAGCTCGCCGCGGCCACACTTCCTCAGCCACACGTCCGGGAGCAGCGTACAATGTGCGGAAGAGCTGGGGTGAAGAAGTGATGTAACAAAGAAAGCTCAAAGGCGAAGGCACGCGCCAACGAATAGCGTGAGAACACAACGCCGTGAGACCGACAGTGCACGACCATGGAGGCGGTGACTAACGAAGACAAAATGGCGAACTGAGACTAAAACGTGGCGGCCGCACCAAAACAAGAGGCCTGGTGCGGCAGACGGGCAGCAACGCGCGGCCGGCGCGGACGGGACGGCGCCAGGGCTCTGGCGCGGTAGCCGCCCCCGGTTGCCGAGCGCTTCGCCCCGACACCACTAGGAGGGGCGGAGGAACAGGAGAGAGGGGAGGAGGGAGGAAGAGAGCGAGGAGAGGAAACATGCAGTTGCTCTCCTGGCAACGGGTGCTCGCCTGAGCCCCACGGCTTGTCTGCAGGGCGAGGGCGGCCCATGAATTTCAAACTGTAGCTCGAAACAGGGGTTTCTGCGGTTCACCCCAAACCTCCATGGTGCTTTTCGCAAATTGTTATTTGTTTTATTTCTTTTTGGGTTTAGCACCAACCCTGCACACACACACATGCTCACACACACATACACCTGCAGCATCTTCCCAATGAGCTGGGTAACCTGGACGCACGCGGTGGCCAGGCTGTTGGAAAAGATCCTGAGGAGGCCTGTGTTGACGTTCAGTGGAAGCTGATCGCGACGAGCGCACTCTACGAGTCCTACGGCATCGTGCGCCTGAGCCTCCGGATGACCATCAGGCTATCCTCGAGCAGCACTTGCTGGGGCAGCTGGAGTCGTTCGATCGGCACGGCGGTGCTGATTCCCGCGAAGCAGCACTTGCCGAGGCAGCTGAACACGTAGGCGAACGGCTCGGCGGTGTTGATGTCTCGCCCCAGGCGCGCTGGCGTCGGTGACGGCGCTGCGCGCGAGGCCGAGGCCGCGGCAGCCCACGTCACAGTACCAGAACCTCGTGTCCTCAAAGCAACACTGGCTGGGGGAGCTGGAATCGTAGACGGCCAGCTCGTCGGTATTGATGCCCTCGAAGAAGCACTGGCCAGTGCGGCTGGCATCGTAGACGATCGGCTCGGCGACGTTGTTGCCCACGAAGGCACTGGCCAGGGCAGCTGGAGTAGTAAACGATCGGCGCGGCAGTGGTGATGCCCTCGAAGCGGCGCTGGCCGTGGCAGATGGAGACGTAGATGATCGGCGCGGCGGTGTTGATGCCCTTGAAGCAGCACCGTCCGGGGCAGCTGGAGTCGAAGACGATTGGCACGGCGTGTCGATGCGCAACCAGGCGCTGGCTGGGACAGCAGGAGACGTAGACGATCGACATGCGCCTGTGATGCCCGCGAGGCGGCACGCGCGCCAGGTCAGCAGGATACGTAGACGATCGGCGCGTCGGTGTTGATACCCTCGGCAGCTGGCCGGGGCAGCTGGAGACGTCGACGATCGGTTCGGTGATGTTGGTGCTTTCCACCCGCTCATCGCAGCCAGCGTTGCCGTACCCGCACGGCGTGTCCTCGAAGCAGCACTGGCCAGGGCAGCTGAGGTCGCGGACGCTCGGCTCGGCAATGTTGACGCCCCCGAAGCAGCACTGGCCGGTGAAGCTGGAGTCGTAGACGATCGGCTCGGCTGTGTTGATGCCCCCCATTTTGGTGCACGTGCGACATCGCCGTGAGGCCCTCCCATGGCAGAGGCAGCTCAAATTGCAAAACTGACGCGCGGAGACGGGTCACTTAACTGACTTATATATGTATGTATGTATGTATGTATGTATGTATGTATGTATGTATGTGTGTGTATGTATGTATGTATGTATGTATGTATGTATGTATGTATGTATGTATGTATGTATGTATGTATGTATGTATGTATGTATGTAGGTAGGTAGGTAGGTAGGTAGGTAGGTAGGTAGGTAGGTAGGTAGGTAGGTAGGTAGGTAGGTAGGTAGGTATGTAGGTATGTAGGTATGTAGGTATGTATGTATGTAGGTATGTAGGTATGTAGGTATGTAGGTATGTAGGTATGTATGTTTGTATGTATGTATGCATATAAGCATGTATGTATGTATGTATGTATGTATGTATGTATGTATGTATGTATGTATGTATGTATGTATGTATGTATGTATGTATGTAAATGTATAAATGCACTAGAACCACGCGCGCTTCGCGCGCGCTTAGGTTCTAGCATGTCACAGACACAGGAATCGCTGTGCGAAAAAAAATGTTCGGAGTTTGTCTCAGGCAAGTGAGGATTCCAGTGGCAACACCTGCTTGAGGCACCGCAGGGGACGGACCCTGTGTAGAGCGTGGAAAGTCGGACCAGCTCTTTGGTCGACCCTCTTGGGCGCGCCCTGGGGCTCTCTTGGGCCGTTTTGGGAGGCCCATTGGGGGGCTGTTTCGGTGCCTCTTTTGGTGCCTTTTCGGGTCTCTTGGGGGCCTCTTGGGGCTTCTTGGGCGCTTCTTGGAGCCTCTGGGGTCTCCGGGGGGCCTCTTAGGCCAAAACGCTCGAATCTTCGGTTCCTCGTCCCCGTCTTGGGCGCCGACTTGGGGCGTTCTTGGGCGGTTTGGGCGCCTCGGGGGCCGTCCTGGCCTCCTCGTGTGCCGTCTTGGAGCCCTCTTGGGGGCATCCTCGACAGGCTTGGGTGCCCCGTGGGCCGTCTTGGACGCAGTGGAAGCCCAAAAGGCGAACACGCCCAAAAAAATCAGTTTTCCCATAGGAAATTGACGACGTTTGCTTATTGGGGCTCTCTCGGGGTGCCTCTTGGGGCATCTTCCGGGCCTTCGGAGGCCTGCTTGGCGTCATGGGAGTCGTCTTGAAAAGCATCCGGAGCCATCGGAGTGCGTTTTCGAGCGCTCCGAAGCCATCTTCGGGCGATCTTGGACGGCCCCTGGCGCTCTGGCAGGGCTCCCGGCGCGCCGACCCCCACATTTGCGGTCGGGGGCCCCCCCGCCCCCGGACCTGGTCCGCCGTTATATATATATATATATACATCTATATATATATATATTGATGTAAAAATGTATACATATACATATATATATATATATATATATATACATATATCCGGGACAAAGCACCGGTCCCCAGGATTCCTGGGGACCAGTGTGCAGGAAGCAGGGCATCGAACTCGATCCGTGTTCGTTACGAGCCGAAGAAGGGTGAGAGAGCGAGGGAGACGCGAAAGAAGGAACGGGGGGAAAGTGCGGAAAAGATTGAGCGCCCCCGCTCGGGCCATAGCTGGAGTCCCCCGCTACGGGATACGGAATGCGTGAAGAGCGCGCAGGGGCGCGTGCGGAAGCCTTCGCTGGGGCCGCAGTTGAAGCGCCCACTCTTGGGAGTGCGTTTCGGGGCGTGCTGGATCCCACCACCCCTCTGCGCGTAGATGCTTCAGTGGGTTCGTTTTTCCAACCCCCGTGTTCTCCACTGGGGAAGGGTTTTCCCCTCCACCTGACCTTATGCCAGCCCCTCGCGTAGTGAAGCCTTCTGGGGGGCATCTTGGGGACCTCTCTGGGGCCTATCGGCGGCCTCCCGAGGGCATCCAAAGGGTCTCTGGGGGGGTTCTCGGGGGCCTCGCGAGGCATCTGGGGGGCCTCTTCGAGCCGTTCTGGCGCCAGGGACGCCTTCCTCTGCGGGCCTTTTCGAAGCTTGGACGGGTTCGGTGCCCTCTTGGGGCCCCCTTGGGAATCTATCCGGAGCCTCTAGGGCCGTCTTCGAGGCATGTAAAGCAATTCGGGGACGAAAATGCGAGAAGGCAAATCTCATTGACTTCGCTTTGCTTGTTCTGATGTTAGCCTCTCGGGGGCCCTCTTGTGGCTGGCGTCTTGGAGCCATCCTGGGCCGACCTGGAGGATGTGAGAGCGTGTCTTGTGGTGTCTCGCCCCGTGTGGTCTCCTCTCGCTTCCTCTGGCATCGTCTTGGGCCATCTCGGGGCGCCTTGGAGTCCGCGACACACCCGTCCTGGGGCCTCGTGGCGACTGGAGGGGCCCGCCTGCCTTTTGAAGGGAAGCCCGTCACGTGGGTCTGGACGGCCTGCACTGCCGAGCTTGCCATCGCTCGGGAGTCCATCCCGCGTGCGTTTTCCGGTTTCGTGCGTGTTTCTTTTTTGTCAGATATAAGGGAACGAGCTCTGTGTCCCGACGATTTGTCTGGCCCTGCACGGAACGTTGCAACAAGGAAGCGGATTCTGGTGTATACGGGATCCTGGTTTATGTATTTTCCTGGCTTCCCCGGGAAAACGGGGGAAAAAGTACACACCACACCACCCCGGCGTCGTCCCCGAACCTCAAAAGGTCATGGGATTGAAAAACAGCACGCCACTGGTACTGTAGATGTTCCAGTTTCCGACCAGGATCCTGCACCGAAGTGTTTTGGTGTGCTGGGCAAGCTCCTTCGCACAGGAGGCCCCTGAGGGCGAGGGTGGGGTGCACGAGGATGAGGACGCGGGAAGGAGGGGGGAGGGACGGGAGGTGTGGGTTCCCCAGTACAGGCCACAGCACAGGGGCAGAGCGGAGGTGGGCGCGAAGCCCAGGGGGCTTCGCGAAGGCCTGAGAGCGCTCCACAGGAGGAGAACGAACGAACGAACGACTCTGCAGAGGCGCGTCGGATGGGCCCGCCAGACCCACTCAGGAGCAACGACCTCGGCTCAGCTACGCAAGATGGCTCAGCGCAAATAGCAGGTACAGTCTCGGTGACACGATTGGGGTCAGCAGCGACAGCCTGTGGCTCGTCAGGCAGCGGCAGCCCAGGTGGTTCTTGAAAGCCTGGCGGGCGCACCAACAGCCTATCAACGCCAGGGTGCGGTAGACCAGGCGGAAGAGCAAGGCAGTGCATCCCAGCGGACTGCGCGTGCACCTCGCAGGGGTCCAGGTGCAGTTGATCGAGTTCCCACCTGGGTGCTCGCCAACGGCACCGCCTGCAGGAACCGCCTCCGGAGCGTGTGGCGCTGGCCGCCACTGGGCGCGGCAGCCACATCATCGCGTGTGCGGGAGCATAGACCACGAGGGGACAACGTTGATGGCACAGTGTCGCCGGGAGATGAGGTGCTCACATGGTGGGCGGGAGCGGGTCTGCATGCGGCCTAGAGACCCCCATGATGGCGGACCGGAAAGCCCACAACCCCCGAGGCATGTGGAAAAGGGAAGCTCAGAGGGCCGATCCCGCCCTGGGTTCCGTACGATGGCGATGATCGAGAAAAGCCTTCCACCCGAAGGATAGAGTCCTATTTCCAGTGCGCCACTACCTGAGCCGAGATGGGAATTGGCGAGGGAAGGAGAAGAAGGGATGGGGCCCACACACGGACACAGGGCATGAGCGGATGGGGTCAGAGTGAGGCCGCGACTCCACCGATCAGGCCCCATGGGGTCCTCCCTCTCCCCGTCGCCCCCGTTTCTCGCCGCCGCGCCAGCCCGCACCAGGTCGGCCGAGGCGCGCCGCGAGAGGCCCTGCCCTCAGAGCAGAGCTCGCGCGTGCACGACGCGGGGCAGGGCCGCCTGGTCAGGAAATGAGGGGCGGGCGTCGGCGAGGAAGGGGAGGGCGGGGAGAGGGGGGAAGAGAGGGATAAGCCTGCACCTCCTCCTCGTCCTCCTCCTCCTCCTCCTCCTCCTCCTCCTCCTTTCACTGCAATACTGTTTGGATAGAAGCTAGCACCATGTAGCAACAGCAGCACTGGTATCTGTATCATACCAGGTCGACGATGTCAGCAACAACGTGCATAGTATGTGGTTTCTGGGCCAGTCCTGCAGGCCGATCTGAAGAAATTCGAATGAAGTCTGAAATCCTGGACGTCAGCGTAGTATGTGCAGATCCCCCGCTAGTAGATGCTGACGGAAAATGAAAGCCGAAATAGGTGCTGGAAAAAATGATGAAACATGCGCGTGACCGAGTCAAACAACGTGGAGCCCGAAGCACCCCAATCATCAATACGGATATGAATTCAGGCTTTGAGATCTGGGAGAACAACACTCGTGTAGACCCCGATCATAACCACATGGTACCATACCATCTGAAACGAAATGGACCGTCGGGGGAGATCTTCTCGAACATGTTTTCAGGTTTAAATAGTATGGCTCATAGTACCTATCCAATGCAGCCTGGACCGACATAGTTTGGCGCCCATTGAAACACATCGACTCTGGACATCTTCGCTATTCCAACCAGTCTTGGACCAGGCATCCGACATTGCCGAATTGCATGGAGAGCAAGACGATCTTTGCGGCTAATCCCGGAAAACACTCCTCGAAATCATGTGCCCGTGATTTTGTAAATGAGTTGAGTCCCACAGTGCTGCTCAAAAAATATGAGACCCCACTGAAACTACCAGAAGCTGGCCACTGCTCTCCAGGTAGGCACCGACAGGGAAGCTTTTCATCAAGAGCTCGCACAAGAGATGCTGGCTGAGTCATCTTTTCGCTGAGTGTAATGAACATCATCAACACACAAACAACTACTATGATACACGGGCTGATATTGTGCAGAATGTGGGCCTGCGCCACTTTGCCGTGGCAGAGCGCTCCCCGACACGGCCGAGAAACGACTCCGATAAAACACAATAACGACTGGAGGCAGCAGCATACCTTTCGACAAACGGACATGACAACAACTGTGACGACACCCGCTTGGACTATTAGCCCCAAACAACGACGTATC